GTCTCTGACTAAGCAACCCTTTGAGCCTCTCAGGGAAGCCTCTCTCCAATTCCTCACATTCAAAGTGGTATTCCTGGTAGCTATTACTTCGGCCCGCTGCATATCGGAGTTAGCAGCCTTGTCGGTAAGGAAGGACCTTTGCATATTTCATGCCGATAGGGTGGTCCTCCGACCGGACCCTACCTTCCTGCCCAAGGTTAACTCGACCTTTCACAGGGCTCAAGAACTCATACTCCCGAACTTCTGTCCCAATCCCTCGCGGGAAAGGGAGAAGCTTTGGCACTCACTGGACGTAAGACGGGCCCTACGCATTTACATTAAGCGTACCCAACCCTTCCGGAGGTCAGAATCTCTCTTCCTTTCCTTCCAGCCCAAATCCTTAGGCCACAAAGTGTCTCCGTCAACCATCGGCCGCTGGATTAGGGCTACCATTTCCAAGGCTTATTTGTCCCAGGCACTGCCGGTACCCAGGGGGATCACAGCACACTCCACCAGAAGTGCAGCCACCTCGGCGGCTTGGGCCACCCAGGCTCCAATTTCTGATATTTGTCGGGCAGCCACTTGGGCATCCCCCTCTCCTTTCATTAGACACTATAAGATTGACACCTTTGCCTCGGCGGAGGCTTCGTTTGGTAGGCGAGTCCTCCAGCGAGTCTTCAGGGAACCTCGGAGATTGCAGGACCAGACGGGGTCCCTCCCGTAGGACAGCCAAGCTTTGGTATGTCCCACTCTGGATGATCCGAACGGCTCTCAGGAGAATGGGCGTTGGTTCTTACCTGACACGCCATTTCTCTGGAGCCGTGAGGATCATCCAGCCCCACCCTTTAATTGCCGTCTGGTGGGGCCTTGTTTCGGCCAATGACCTATTTAGCATAGGGAGAGCAGAGCAACGTCCTTCTCTTCATCTTCGTCTTCACGCAAACTGGGGAACGCAAGAGAGCCACGTGATGGAGGGCGGAGCGTTCCTCAGTGATTGAGCTCAGCCATCAACGACGTAGACTGAAGCACCTCCCACTCTCTGGATGATCCTCACGGCTCCAGAGAAATGGCGTGTCAGGTAAGAACCAACGCCCATTTTCATCCAATATTTTTTAGCTTTGGGGCATGTCCACCACATATGGTGATATGAACCAAGTATCTGATTACACTTCCAACATTTAGCAGACCTCTTTAAACATTTGCCAATCTTGTTGGTGAAAAGTGCCTTCTGTAAAATATTTTATATACATTTTCTTTGACATAGTTGACATAGATAATTTAACATTTCTATCCCATAATTTCTGCCATTTGTCCAGTTCTATTGCATATTCAAATTTTTTAGCCCAAACTATCATTGTCTCTTTTACTTGTTCACTTTCCAGTTTGTTACTTAATAAATATATATTTTCTTTATTAATTTTTCATCCGTTCCAGTTAATATCTAGTTCAATTCTGTTAATTCTTTATTAAAACATTTTAGTGTCTTTCTCATATCGAGATTGTATCTGCATTTGTGGCCACCATGCTATACCCATCCCTTTACTATTGAGTTCTTGCTTAGTTTTTAATTCCCTCTTTTCATTCAAAATGTCTTTATATCTTATATTAATGGCATTAGGATGTATCAATACTTCCATTGTGGAAAGCCAGACTGGTATTTTCAGATAATGTTGTTCTTTAATTTTTACCCATACTGATAGCAATGCATTTTTAATATAGTCTTTGGAAATAGCTATGTTTCTTATACTTCCCATACACTTAGAAAGCATGCCAACCTAATTGAAGATTATATCCTTCTAAAGTTAATAGTCTTTTATGCCCCAAATTTATCCATTCTTTCACCCATGTAAGTATCGAGGCCTGATAATATAATTCCCAATCTGGTTACCCAAAGCCCCCTCTTTTTTTTAGAATCTTGCAACATTTTCAGACTTAATCTTGCTTTTTTCCCTAAGCAAATATATCTTAATATTATTTTATTTAATTCTTCAAAATATTTTCCCATTTGATTGGTATTGTTTGGAATAAATATAATAATCTTGGTAAAATATTCATTTTTATAGTAGCTATTCTTTCCGCCACCAACAATTGCGAATTTTTCTATTTCTCCAAATCTAATTTGATTTATTGCATCAGTTTCATATAATTATCCTCTTTAATCGTTACACATTTTGCTGTTAGTTGTATCCCTAAGAACTTTACTTTCTTAACTATTTATATATCATTTTTTTACATCAGCACTCTTTTCTATGTATTTGTAAGATTTTTAATCTTAATATTTTTGTCTTTTCTTGTTTATTTTCAATCCTGCAACTTCCCCATAGTCTTCTATCTTTTTAATTAATTTTGGTCCAGTTTCTAGTGGGACTTCTAATATAAACACCAAATCATCAGCAAAGGCCTGTAACTTGTATTTCTCTTTTTAAATTTCCATTCCTTTTATCTCTTCATCTTGTCTAATGTTTCTAGTTAACACTCCAAGGTCAATATAAATAGTAGAGGGAATAGTGGACATCCCTGTCTTGTGCCTTTTTTTTGTATAGAAATTCCGTCATGTCCCCATTTACCAACACCGTATCTGATTGTGATATATTGCTTTAATCATATTAATCTCTCCCCAAAGTCCATGCATTTTAATTGTAATAACATAAATTGCCAATTAACGTTATCAAATGCTTTCTGTGCATCTAGGAAAACCAATGCCATTTGTCTTCCAGGATTCCATAATCCATGTCTTTAAAATCATTCTCATATTGTTTTTAATCTGCCTCTTTGGCAAAAATCCATTCTGATCTGCATGTATACATTCATTCAAAATCCTTTTTAATCTCTCTGCTATTATTAAAGCATATATTTTGTAGTCCGCATTCAGTAAGGATATTGGCCTACAATTCTTTATCTGTATTAAATTTGAGTAATCTTTCGGTATAAGAGTAATATTTGCATGAATTTGGTATTTTCCTTTCTAGCAGAACTTCCAACATAACTGGGCCTAATGTATCTTGTAATTGTTTATAAAATTATGTCGGTAGCCCATCGAGCCCTGGCGTTTAATTATTCTTTTGTCTCTTAATTGCTTCTGTCAATTCCATCATAGTTATTCATTCATTCAGCATGACTTTAACAGTTTCAGATACTTTTAGGAAATTTAGATTGTTCCAAGTATTGTTGTATTCTGTTTTCAGGGATTTTCTCCTGATCATACAGTTTCCCATAATACTCTTGAATTATTTTTTTTATCCTCATTTTGATAATAAAGGATCCCTTTCTCATCTATTAGTCAATGTATCAGGTTCCCCCCCCCCTTCAGTTTATATGCCAATCATCTTCCTGGTTTATTCGCATTTTCAAAAAAGTTTTGTTTTACACTTTTGATTTTTTGTGCCAATTCTTTTTCTAATAGGTTCATTTTATGCTATTTGATTTTTCAACTTCTTTTTTGTGGTTCTTTCTGTAGTCCTAATTCTAATCTTTTATGTTCTTCTAACATATTTTATTTTGTTTCTTCTTGTTGTTTTTCTTTCCCATGTAAGTTATGACTAATCCCCCGGTATACACTTTACAGTTTGCAAAGAAGTCTCTTCTTTCCTGTTCTCTTTAAAGAAAAAGTCCAGTTCTTTTTCCATACTTTGTATAAATTCCTTATCTTGCAGTATTTCTTGGTTCAATGTCCATCTCAATTTTCTTTTTTTTCCTCTTTCCTTACAACTTTTACTGGATTATGATCTGTGTATTCTAAATATTTCGTCTATTCCAGCGAGGATTTCCTGCTTGCTTACCTCCAGTGCATCTGACATTTTTTCAGGAATGTCTTCCCCCTTTTCCTCAATATTCTGAAACCTCAAAAAGTATTCTGCATCTCCAATCATTTCTGCTCATGATTTTTCCAAATTAACTGCTGTGTTTTTAAAAATAAACCTGGCATTAATGCCTCAATTGCAATTGTATTAGTTAAAGCATTCCAGCTCAGCAGCTTCCTGATTGCTGCTTTAGCAATATTTTACAAGTAGTCCTCCATTTACAATAGTTCATTTAGTGACTGTTTTGAAGTTACAATGGCACTGAAAAAAAGTGATTGACTGTTTTTCACACTTACAACCTTTGCAACATCCCCATTGTCATGTGATCACAATTCGGATGCTTGGCAACTGATTCATATTGATGACCGTTGCAGTGTCCTGGGGTCATGTGTTTCCCTTTTGCGACCTTCTGATAAGCAAATTCAGTGGGGAAGACAGATTCACTTAACAATAATGGTACTAACCTAACAACTGCAGTGATTCACTTAACAATTGTAGCGAGAAATGGGGCAAAACTCATTTAACAAATGTCTCACATAGCAAAACAAATTTTGGGCTCAATTGTGGTTGTACGTTAAGGACTTACCTTTATACACCAAAAGCAGGTTGAACACTGAACATGCTTTGGAAAGCATCCACTATTGTTCCATTTAACCTACCAATCCATAAAATTGTGATCATCTGTTTGTACCAAATTGAAAGTTGGACATTCACAGCACTAGACTGAAGTGTTGAAGTCTAGTTGGTAGTTCAGTATGTTGCCCGCACTCACCCAGTGTGTGTGAACCCTAAGTAACACCCATGATTAACTGAACAAATCCTTACTGAAACACGAAAGTGAATTTCTGTGGAGATTCTCAGCTATCCAGGTCATGGTTGTCCCAAAGGTGCTTTTTCAAAAGGCAACTGGACTTTCTTGGTTTTTCCTTGAAGGCGTTTCGCTTCGCATCCAAGAAGCTTCTTCAGTTCTGAAGTGTACAGTATGAATGCTAGACTGGACATTGATCAGCTTTGGTCAATGGACATGCTCCTGTCTCCTTTCCCTGCTTCCATTTTATAGACGGAACTGGGGAGTGACCCAATGCAGCACACACCAATGCAACTGATGTTTGTGACATCTGAACTTCAACCTGTATCATTTTCACCTCTAAGCTTTTCTTGAGTTTGGTAGTGAGAGGCTTCCTTATTGTTTTTCTTTTCTTTCCATGATTCTGGATTAAGAAAAAAAGTTAAAGTCTTCCAAAACCAAGACGAAACAAAGCTGCTTGAGATTGTTCCATCACCATATTTCATTACAGTGGCTGAAGCTTCTCAGAGATTGCCTAGATGCGCCTTGCTGGGCCAGTCCTCACCTTTTGCATCTGTAAGTACATCAATAGAGTGGATCTGGGGCCACAAGGTGGCTTTTGTGGTTCTGGGGCAGAGGAAAGTGGCAGGAAGGCAAGTTTTGAATCTCCTCATTTTGGTTTTCATTGTTTCAAGACCCAAATTAAAATCTGGAAAATCTTAGAAAGAGGCTTGTTTCTCAGAGTCCATCAGCAGAGTTTCGCTCAATCAGTACTTCACTTTTTTTTTTTCAGTCATTGAGCCAATAAGAAAGGTTCAGAAAGTGCCAGAACCTAGCAATGCTAAATATTCATTTTGCAAGAATGTTCTTGAACACAGGTAGTCGACTTACAACCACTCATTTAAAGTTAAAATGGTGCTGAAAAATGTGACATATGACTGTTTTCCTCATGACCATTGCAAGGTCACGTGATAAAAATTTGGCTGCTTGGCAACTGACTCAAATTTATGATTATTGCAATGTCCTGGGGTCATGTGATAATCTTTTGTGACCTTTTGACAAGCAAAGTCAATGGGGAAGACAGATTCATTTAACAATCATGGTACTAATCTGCAGTGATTCATTTAACAATTGTGGCAAAAAATGTCATAAAATGGGGCAAAACTCACTTAAAATCTGCCTTGTCTAGTAACAGAAATATTGGACTCAATGGTGGCCATACATCGAGGACTACCTGTATGGATTTCTGACTGGTAACGGGTCAGGAAGCACAGATGACCAGTGCAAGGAACTCCCTTTAAGATAGTAATAATTGAGTTTCCCTTTCTTTGTGAACTGCATATTAGCAGTTAGTCCTCGACTTTCTACAGTTCATTAAGTGATTGTTGAAAGTTACAACAGCACTGAAAAAAGTGACTTATGACCATTTTTCACACTTTACAACCATTGCAGCATCCCCATAGTCACATGACCAAAATTTGGCTGCATGGCATATTTGTGACAGTTGCTGTGTCCTGGGGTCACCCGTGATCCCCTTTTGCGACCTTCTGACAACCAAAGTCAATGGGGAAGTCAGATTCAGTTAACAACCATGTTACTAACTTAACACATGAAATGATTCACTTAACAGTTGTGGCAAGAATGGTCGTAAAATAGGGCAAAACCCACTGAACAACTGTTTGACTTGTCACCCTAAATTGTGGTTGTAATTCGAGGACTACCTGTACAAATCTGATTTTGTTTGCCAGTATCCTGTTGAGTATGGAGCCCCCATTGCCAGCTGAGGCTCAGGAGAAGCTCCTCTACCTGACCTCTATTTACACCCAAGAAGATGGTGCTTTTCCCACTTCTGGTTCCACACGGGACGTTTGCAAGCAGCCCATTTACACTGTGGAGAGCTTGCTGAAGGTCAATGTTGCTGCTGCTGCTTCTGCCCACGAATTATTGAAGAGAACATGGCGGACAGAGGTGTTGCCAGGAACGGTGAAAGAGAAAGGACTGGAAGAGGAGGAGGAGGAAGAAGAGATGTACACCCAGTCACCGTCACAGCAAGAACCTTTTTTCCTGGAAGACCCAGCAGCTTTGGCTGAAAAAAGAAAAGCTCTTCAGGGGGCAGTCTGGCAAGTCGGCTCAGGTAAAACCTGGCTTCTAATCCATTGGGAGTTAGCATGTTTGGCATGTTAAGGGCAAAAAATGGGCCCGAGTGCTGCTTAGTCCATCCCTGAAAGTCTTGTATAAATAATTCTGTGGTTGGAAGGAGCAAAAATGGAGGAATGCCAAAGGGGAGGAGGAAAGGAACATAGAGCTTAGATAAACTATGCCCCGTAATAATTGCCTTTGATTAATGGGATATCCCTTTTAAGAGCATCTGTCTATAGTCGAGAGCAATCATATGCAGTTCACGGGCTCCCTCTGGGCCTGGACACCTAGTAATATGGCCTCACAAGATGTTCTAAAAATATAAAAAATAAAGTAAGATTGTTATATTATGTAATATGTATATAATATATATTAACTATAATATCTATTTTATATGCGGCTCAAGACAATTTCTCTTTACTCAGCGTGGCCCAGGCAAACCAAAAGGTAGGACACGCTGTGGGAGGGGGGGGGAGATGAGCCCTTTCTGAGCTCAGGAATTCTGGGAGTTGAACTTCTCATAAAGTCAGAAAGGGACCATCGTTCCCCACCTCTGGTCTAGAGGAAGAGGCCATATGTCTTCAAAGGTTGATCTCTGGTGTTTCCATGTAATATGTGTAACTTACCTAAAACCTTGGAGATCTGCTGCTCAGAAAAAAACAAAATAAAGGTGGGAGCTTCTGAACATTGCTAAACCACAAATCACCATTATTATTTGAACTGAACAAAATAAATCATAACTGGTGTGAAGTTAGATGGGAATAGGGTTGTGCATTCTTAGGAGGTAAAGTAACATGGGTAAGTAAGCTTTCTTTCTTTTTCTTTCTTTCCTTTTTCCTTCCTTCCTTCCCTCTTTCTCTCTTTCTTTTCTTTCTCTCTCCTTTCTCTCTTTTCCTACAAGGGATAAGACCCTGCCCATCCTCTAAGACGGGTTTCAAACTCAAGGCCCACTGGCTGGATCCAGCCTGCGGGATGCTTAGATCTGGCCCGCGGGGCCAACCTGTGAGGAAAGGAAAAAATAAACCTTGCCCAAGGACTGGCCTGTGGTGCCTCTGCTAGCGAAAATGAGGCACAGGCCATGCCCTGTTTTTAGCTGGGACGTCCTCCTGCAAAATCCTGCAGCAACCACAATTCCCTCCCTGATCTGCTTTCTAGCTCTGTTCTCCAGCGTGCAGGGCAACAACAGAAGACCGTGGGACTACCAGTAAACAAAAAAAATCAATCAGATCTTCTAACTTCGCGAGATCTTTTTACCCAATAAGTTAGAAGGTCTGATTGCACTTTTTTAAAAACATGATCTTCTTTTGTTGCCCTGCACTCAGGCAATTGTGGAAAGCAGGTTAGTGAGGGAATTGTGGTTGCTCCAAGATGGGGTGAGGATTTTACATTTTGATTGTTCTGGGGAGGGGTTGGAGTGAGGATTTTGCATTATGATTGCTCATAAATGAGTAAGAACCAATAAAAGAGGAATGGAAAA